GGCTCAATCCCTGGGTTGGGAAGATCCCCTGGATAAGAGAAAGGCTACCCACTCCAGTATTATAGCCTAGAGAATCCCATGGACTGTATAGTCTGTGGGGTCACAAGGTGTCGGATATGACTGAGTGACTTTCACTCTGTTATTTTTTTGTTTTCTGTTTAATTTCCTTATTCTCTTATCATATTGGTTTTCTTCATATATCTCTTTTGTGCTTCCTTTTTGGACTTAATTTACTTTTTGCTATCTTCTGACTTTCCCACATGGTGAATCATTCCTTTTTTTTTTTTTTTAAGCCCATCTTCAGCAGAGACTGTTTGTCTAAGGACACCCTAATTGTATGATAATTAATCTAAATTGCTTTACATATAGCTTTGTCAGGCAGCCTGAAGGGTTTTCAACAGCTGGAAACAAAATTTTACTTTTGCTTTTCTCATTTGTGAATTGTTGATATGATACCATCTTGAGTGAGTAGAGAGAATTTTGACTTTATTTCCACACATGAGTTAAGTTTATGAATAAAATTTCCATAGAGACCTGGAAGATATTTTTACCCACCCAAAGCCCTAGGCAAAAGCTATTCGCTTTTCATTTCCCAAGGTTCCGGAGGTGAGGGAGTATAGGCATTCTCTTCATCCTGTCAATCAACTAATTTGTTGTTGTCGTTTCGTTGCTAAGTCATGCCTGACTTTGCAACTAGGTGGACTGTAGCCCATAAGCCTCCTTCTTTCTGTCCACGGGATTTCCCAAGCAAGTACTGAAGTGTATAGCTATTCTCTTCTCTAGGGGATCTTTCTGACCCAGGGTTCTATCCTGGCCGGCGAGTTCTTTACTACTGACCACCAGGGATGTCTCAATCAGTTATTATTCTCCCATGATTCTGATTCTGAACCAGGCCTCAGTGGCCTTCCTCAACTCATTTGTCCTTGAAGCCAAGTGTTCTATGTTTGAGACAGTACTGGGATGCCAAATCTTCCCTCTGAAGCCTCCATTTGTCTTGCTGTGGCTTCTGCAAGAACATCTATAGGTCTTATTATTCTGCTTAACTTTAGTCAATGCTTCTGAGTTTTCTTTACTTTTAAATTTTTGACTAGATGGGTGGTACTACTTTGGGATAGAGATTCCTGCTAATGCTTACATCATCTTGCCTAACTTTCAATTCTAGGCTACCTCTATAAAAGTTAGACTGAAATTTGATTAATTCCTCATTTGTATGTTTCAAATGAGGTGGTGGGGATGGCAGGATAAATGGGGATAATATGGAAATTTAAGAATGCATTTGGGTGATTAGGAAAAAAGACAAAATAGATGAACTGTGTAACATATATTTTTTTTCTGCTTGCAAGATAGCCAACATAGAAAAATATCACTCCTGAGACATCTTAGATATCAAACAAGTCTTGGTAAAAAATTTCCTGTGGAATTAAGCATAAATAAATCAGAACACAAGACTTGTGCTTCTTCATAATGTAAATATGTGAGATTTGAGGTTTAAAATAAGTCTACACTGGGAAATAAAATCAAGGCCATCAGTATGTATTGGGTTTTAGTGAATTTGACTGCACTCAGCCCTAATTTAGAGTGTATCAAAGTTTGCAATTAAAAGCTACAATAGACGAGTTCCTGAACCTAGGCTTATTAGTAAAGAGTTACAAAAGTTCAACAAAAACCACCTAAATTATAGACCTTCACTGTTCACAGGGCTTCCTCTGTTTTGGCAAATCAATGTTTTTAAAGGGTGTGTGGTTATGGAAGAGATGGTGCTTTTATTACTCACTGTATTTATTTATATCAATCTTTTACTGTATCTCAGATTCAGAGATGTACATGATTTGAACTTCACTATTCAATTAGCCAGTAAAAAACCTTTTCAGATTTTGTTTTTTCTTTTGCTGTATTTTTAAAAAAGCAGTTTTAGATTCAGAGCAAAATTGAGAGGAGTTTACAGAGATTTCCCAGAGATCTCTTGCCCCTACACCTTCATGGTCTTCCCCATTATCAACATCCCTCACCAGGAGTGGTGCCTTTGTTATAACTGATGAATCTTCATTGATGCATCATAGTCACTCAAAGTCCATAGCTGATACTAGAATTCACTCTTGGTGTTGTACATTCTGTGGGTTTGGACAAAACCATGTATGTCATATTTACATATTATGTACATAGGCAGAGATATTATGTACATATACATGAAATATATATTTGTTTATGAATTTACAAAATTATATATAATTTGAATACATCTTAAATATATTTAGTATTAATATAAATCAATATTGGTATGTATGTAAATAATCATAAAAATGTATATAAATGTATGTAAATGTTTACAAATTAATATTGACATGTATGTAAATAGTGGCATGTATCATGCAGAATATTTTCATTGCCCTAAGAATCCTCTATTCTCTGCTTATTTATCCCTCCCTTTCCCCTCTTCCCGGCAACCTCTGATCTTACTATTATCTCCAGAGTTTTACCTTTTCCCAGAAATCATGTAGTTGAAATCATACAGTATATAGCCTTTCCTGATGACTCTCTTCATTTAGTAATATGCATTTTAAGTTTTTATTTTGCCTAACTTCATTTCTTTTTCTCAACAGTTGTCATAATGTGTAAAATCTATATGTTTAGGGGTATATATTCATTCTGAGAAATGGAAAGATTGTAATAGATAATGTTGGTAGCCTGCTGCATGCCTAAACTGTCATGAATGTTGACTGATTACATTCCCAGTTGCCCCTTCTCTAGAGAATTATCCTTAGCTGCATGGGAGACCTCCCTCTTGTCCTACATAACTTCACTCATTCTCCTCTCAAGAGAAGCATGTCCAGCCTCTCTCTCAGGCTCTGCCTTTAGAAAATCTAACCTAAGACCCAGGTTTGTCATACAAATTATGATTTACATATATGCATATATATAATTTTTATGTTTTATGAATTTACAAAATTATTATAAATATTTTAAAAATATATTTAATATTAATGTAGAATTAATAATTTGAAAAATATATAGCACTGAGAATAGAATATTTTGAAAAAGAAGAATAAGAGCGGGGGACTTCTTTGGTAGATATTCTGACTATGACAACATTATAATCATTTAAAGAGTGAGCTTTTGAAGCACAGAGATAACAATTTCAATAAAAGAATAGAATAGAGATCCAGAATGAGACTCAGGAACAAATATTTCATCATTAATATATAACTAGTTCTTAGGACAGATTTGAATACTTGGTAAATAATAGAAATATGCTGAATGAGAGGCAAAGTGATATGTAACAGAGTTGACATTATGAATCAGCTGGGAAAGAAGGGATTTTTCAATAAATGTTCTGGAGCAATAACTTACCCATATGAAAAAAAATTGTGTCTCATTTTCACACTATACAAACATATCAGTTTTAGTCAATTAAAGATCTAAATGTGAAATGTAAAACTCAAAAATATTTATCAGAAAATACAGGAAAATATCTTTATGACCTTGGCATAAGAGTATAGTTTTTCTTTTTTAATACATCAAAAATATGAACAATAAAGGAAAAATATGGATTAGTTTGAATAATTTAAAAAGGTGTATATCAAAAGCAAATGACTTGAAAAGATAAGTCACAATCAGGTGAAATATTTGCAATATATAAAACTGACAAATGATTAGCCTTTGATATATATAAATATTACTGGAAATCAGTAAGAAAACAGATGAAAATAGAAAATAGACAAAATATATAAACAGGCAACTCCAAAGACTAGATAAAAGCATGAAATTTTCAACCTCAGGAGATTTTTTCATATTCACAGGTAAATATAATAATTAAAAAAAAACATTAAAGACAATCCCTGAATATGCCACATTTTGGTCAGGATATAGAGGGTCAGGCACAATCAGGTGACACTGATGAAAATGTAAACTGGTATTACTACTTTGGAGAATCATTGATAATATCTAGGGAAATGCAAGTTCAAATGCCACAGAAATTTCAGTTCTAGTTTTATTCCATAGGTGAACTCATGCACACATGAACAGGAAGATATGTACAAAATTGCGCAACTTTATTTGCAATGTCAAAAATATCAAAACAATTTCATCAATAAGACAAAGAAAAATAATATATGGTATAGCCATGCAATGAAATGCTTTACAGTCAAAATTAATATACTAGATGTACAAGTAACAATAGGAAAAAGATATAAGTATAATGTTGAATAAATCAAGCTAGTTTTAAAAGGATATGTACAGTACAATTCTGTTTTCTAAAGCTTTAAGCATGTAGAATAATATTATATATTGCTTCTGCATAAATACACATGTAGTGAAATATGAAAACATGAGTGGAAATGATCAGCAAGGTCAAATTAGTTCAAACTTTGGTCAGAGGAGAGGGGAATATGTTCTTGGAGATTTCTCAATTGCACATGGAGTTGGATTTTACATGTAATGTTTTATTTCTTAAGCTGAGTAGCAAGAATATTTGTTTTTTTGTTATAATGTGCATACATCTGTATGCCCAACAACTTTCTTGATAAAGAATAAAAATGTATTTTATGCTGTTTCCTATGTATTTAGGTTTACATATTACACACACACAGAAACATTGTTGTATTTTATTCTCTATTCCCTCAGGATTTGTTTTGTTCTTAATATTAGTTGTATTGTTCTCTATTGATCTTCCTCAATGTTTCTGAGAGCTGTGTGCATTCCAGCATTCATCTCTCACATTCCATTCTTCTAGTGATGGATCCCTTCCACCATTTTACCTGTCCTATTTGACCTGTTTTTTTTCATGTTTTCTTCACGTATTTCTGCATCACAGAATGTGCATGTATGTAATTCTACTGTGTATACCCAGATAGCTCTTTATCAGCTCCAAATAACATCTCATTTCACATTTCTACCAGAAGTGGATGAGGGATTCTATTTTTCCATGATCTTCTCTGAGTCTTGTTATCAGAAAACAAAATCTATAGCATCCTTTATTAAGTGGGAATTCTTAAATGTGATGTGGCAAGGAAGTACAGTTCCTTGGATTCTCTTGGTCAGAGAACTCTTCTTTATCTGCAAAGGTGACCCTTCTCAACCACAGGGGCAGTTTCAGGAGGAATTCCCATGGGGGTGTAAGGAAGAAGACTGCATTTAGACACCCTGAGCACAGGCATCATCCTGTACAATCAGTGGAGACCAAGCTGTTCCAAACAGGACATTCTCTTGTGTGAGTTAGGAGACTTGAAATCAAGACAACTCAGCCGCACCAGACACAGCCTTTCCCTTTCTATATCTCAGTACTGTCCTGTGTAATATGGAGAGGATGGCCAGTAACAACTCTACTGTCTTCTTCAGCTCAAACAGTACATGTGGAATATATATATTTACCAATTTATAAGTTGAATCATTCTGGAGTTATAGGAGTCAAGTTTGGTGAATTTCTCATGTGCCCTAGAACAAACCATTTATAAATCAATGTTTATGCATGGGACCATATTAAACTGTTTACCAAGTTTATATGATGCTGAAACTCCAAAACTTTGTCCACCTGATGTGAAAAGCTGACTCACTGGAAAAACCCTGATGCTGGGCAAGATAGAGGCCAAGAGAAGGGGGTGATAGAGGATGAGATGGTTGGATGGCATCACTGACTCAATGGACATGGTTTTGAGCAAACTCAGGGAGATAGTGAAGGACAGGGAAACCTGGTGTGCTGCAGTTCATGGGGTCACAAAGAGTTGGACACTACTGAGCAACTGAGCAACTGTGTGTGTGTGTGTGTGTGTGTGTGTGTTAATTGCTCGATTGTGTCCGAATCTTTGTGACCCCATCAGGCTCATCTGTCAATGGAATTCTCCAAGCTAGAGTACTAGAGTGGATTGCCATTCCTATTTGTTGTTCAATAGCTAAGTCCTGTCCGAATCTTTGTGACCCCATGGACTGTAGCCCACCAGACTCCTCTCTCCATGGGATCTTCTAGGCAAGAATACTAGAGTGGGTTGCCATTTCCTCCTCTAGGGTATCTTCCCAACCCAGCAATTGAATCTGTGTCTCCTGAATTGCAGGCAGATTCTTTACTACTGAACCACAGGGGAAGCCTCCCTATCTTTCTATCTATTTTCAAACCTCAGTGATTTATGAAAATATAAACAAATCTCTCACTCATGTCAAGTCCAGTTGAGGGGTTTTGGTTGGGTGGCTTTCCGGGACATCACTTAAGAACCCAGAATTCTTCCATCATGTGGTTCTTCCCTTTTTGAGGTTCTTGAAGTTCTCTCTGGTCACCTTCCAGACAAGAAGAAAGAACAGAGCTCACTGTGGGAGGATATTTTGGAGCTAAATCTTGAAGTGGCACACAGCACTGCCTGGAACTTGCTGAAACTTGATCCCTCGGTTACAGTAACAGAGAGACTAAGAAATCCAGTTGGAGTGTGTGCCATGAAGAAGGCATAACTTTTGGAGAACATAGAGCAGTCCCTGCCACAGCACAAGTCCCTGTCAGGCATCTGCTGAGCACAGATTAGTTTTGTTTTAATTATAGAAGCAATGTAACAACATTAAAAATAGTGCTTCAAAACTAGAGAGGAATCACCCACAATCTTATGCCAGGAACAAAGTATCTGTTAGTGTTTATGCAACTTTACATAGCCAGTGACTTAGAGGGCATGCACTTGAATAGTCCTCTTACTCCTCTCCTTTTTGACTTTTCAATTTCTTTCTTTAAACAGTTCTTGTTTTGTTTTGTTTAAACACTTCTTGGTTGCCAAAGGGTTATAGATCAATAAGACACAAAATTTGGGGAATTCCCTGGCAATTCAGTGGTTAGGACTCTTCGCTTCCACTGCAGCAGGCATGATTTCCATCCCTGGTCTGGGAACTAAGATCCCACAAGCCAAGTGGTGCAACCAAAAAATTAGACCCAGAATTTTAAATCTGCCCTCAAGTTCCACTAACATGAGCTCAAGCAAGTAACCAACTGTTATATCATGATGAAGTATATGATAGACATAAATACTTGATATTGGGCAGCACTTATCCCAGAAACAGGTGTCTATACAAGGTGGTATCTTAACTAGTAATAAAAGATACATAGAAGCTAGTGTGGTTAAAAAAAAAAAGAGTTCAAGAGCATTCCACGGAGTGGGGAGAGTAGGGGTACCATTCTCCAAGGCCTGGAGACATGGAATAGAGCAGTGAGCTCTGGGAAGTGCACATCGTTCAGGTTGATTGGTAAGCAGAGTGTAAACGAGAAGTGGTGAAAACTAAATCAGGATGGGGTCAAATTGTGGAAAATTGTCAGCTCTGCTAAGGAGACAAAATTTTAGTCTAAATGCCGTAGGAGTCACTGAAGTATTTTAAGCAGAGGCATGATTTAATCAGAAACTTGCTTGAGAAAGGTAACCTTGGTTGCTCTGTGAAAAAAGACATAAGAAGTGGACAGAATTGAAGGAAAGAGACAAGTTAAAGGACTAGATGCATTATTCATATAAGATATGATGGTGGGTTTACTTGGGCTATGATTGACATTGGAGAGAAATATGTAACATTCAAGAGATATTTAGGTGGTAGAACCAACAGGGCTTAGGACTTGATTGGATATGAGTAGTTAAAGAGAGGAATGTTAGGGATGACCTAGAATTTAGACTTGGTTGATTGGATAGAAAATTAAGACAGGGACTATTGGAAAAAAGAAGACAATGAATTCCATTTTTATTTTAATTTTGAGGTACTGTTGGAATTATAACTAGAGGCAACTGTTAGGAAGTTGGCTATAAAATTGAAATTCAGGAGAGAACTACACTGAATTTAAGATTCCTAATTAAATGTATAAGAGTAAAGGAGATTGTCCAGAGATCATATACAGAGTATGAAGACCATCATTTAGGTGAATGATGAAAGAATAAAAGCTAACAACAGAGGTTATAAAGGAAAAAACAAATAGAAATGAGCAATAGAGTAGATGTATTAAATCAGAGACACCAAGGGAGGAAATTTTAAGTGCTAAGAAGAGATCAAGGAAAATAAAGATAAACAGTGCCCATTAGATTTGGCATCAAACAGTTCATTAGTACCTTTCTGAGTACTTTTTATTTATTTATTTTTTTAATGGAAAAGGATCAGATGAATTGAGAAGTGAATGAAAAGTGAGGATTTATCTCTCAATGACAATTGATGGTTACCAGTAAGAAGAGAGAAAAAGATAGTTGCTCTAATGTTTATCTGAACATGATTTTTTTTTTTTTCCCAAAACTGGAAAAGATTTGATGCAATGTAAATGCTTTGGGGAGAAATTTTGTTGAAAAGGATACTTTGAAAATAATAGAATGATAACAGAGAGAGGAATAATTAATAGGATGAGGTTTCCAGAACCAAGAGCAGACCTGGAGGATAAGGCTTCTATTTTAATTAGTAGTGGGAATTTCTGGTAGATCTCATGTGCTGATTCCTATTGTGTTTTCAATGAAATGCCAACTGCTGAGGGAAAGCAGGATCGTACGACCAGATATTTTTAAATGGAGAGTTTCAAGTTACTGTTATGGAATAAGATATCACACACACAAATATAACATGAATATTGAGTGGTGCTGGGAGCTTCCTTGAAATCAGATATGCTACAATGACCAGCATCCCAAGGGTACCCTACAGGAGCTTTCTCCAGCAGTGTCAGTGTCCTGTGTCTGGAGGTGAAGAAGGGAAGTAGCTGAATAGTCATACAATTGCCAGGTAGGTTTGACAAAAGGACAAGAGAGGCAAAGATAATGGCAACAAAGAGGAGAAAATGATCAGCCAGAAAAATCTAAGCTGACTACGAAAAGTGGTAAAAAGATTCACAGGACTGGAGAGTCTCACAAGATGGAGATTAACTGACACTAATTAAGGGAAAGAAAATGAAGAATAAATACCAGTACTCTGAGTAGAGGATTCCCTGGTGGCTCAGACGGTAAGGCGTCTGCCTGCAATGCAGGAGACCTGGTTTCGATCCCTGGGTCAGGAAGATCCCCTGGAGAAGGGAATGGCAACCCACTCCAGTACCCTTGCCTAGAAAATCCCATGGATGGAGGAGCCTGGTGGGCTACGGTCCACGGGATTGCAAAGAGTCAGACACAACTGAGCAACTTCACTTTCACTCAGTAGAGGTTTAACTTTAATTGGTCCATGGGGCTCTAAATAAATATTTGTTGAATGATGACTGAGTGGATTTGCCTATAGGCACATATAAACATTACCCTGTTATTATAGTCCTAGGCTGCTTTTTTGTTTTCACCTAGGTTGCTTTTATTTTCAATTTTAAATGATCAATACAGTAAAATAGATTTTTTTCTTTTAGTATACGGTTCTGTGACTTTTTAGCTAATTGAATTTATTTTTTAGAACAGTTTTAACTTTTCAGAAAAATTGAGCCAATACCACAGAATTGCTATATACTACCTTTCTACCCCAGATTCTGTATGTAGTTACTAATATCTTACATTAATGTGATATATTTGTTATAATTGATGAATGCATGTTGATACATTATTATTAACTAAATCCCATAGTTTGCATTATGACTCACTCTGTGTTGTACAGTTCTATAGGTTTTGATCAATGTCAATATCATATTTCCCCTATCCATATTAAGCACCAAATGAATACAGGCTATTATTGCATTATTAGTATGGGACATAATTATTGTTCTTTTTAAAATAGACCTTTGTGCGGTTTCTTGTTTCTTTTTTACAGGAGAAAACCACTAAGTTTAATAACATGTACAACATCTATATACACAGGAGAGACCCAGGAAAATTGAGTAACATCTAGACTTTAGTTTTAGGGTAGTTTTAAGTTCACATCAAAACTGAGGGGAAGCTACAGAGAGTTCCTGTATACTGCCTGTCCCTATACATGCACAACCTTCCCTTTCATCAACTTCCTGCACCAGGGTGGTATGTTTCTTAAAACTGATTAACCTCCATTGATATATCGTAACCCAAATTTCATTCAGTTCAGTTTAGCTGGTCAGTCTTCTCCAACTCTTTATGATCCCGTGTACTGCAACACGCCAGGCTTCCCTGACCATCACCAACTCCCGGAGCTTGCTCAAACTCATGTCCATCGAGTTAGTGATGTCATGCAACCATTTCATCCTCTGTCATCCCCTTCTCCTGCATTTAATCTTTCCCAGCATCAGGGTCTTTTCAAATGAGTCAGTTCTTCACACCAGGCAGCCAAAGTATTGGAGTTTCAGCTTCAGCCTCAGTCCTTCCAATGAATTTTCAGGACTGATTTCCTTTAGGATTGACTGGTTGGATCTCCTTGCAGTCCAGCGGACTCTCAAGGGTCTTCTCCAACATCACAGTTCAAAAGAATCAATTCTTTGGTGCTCAACTTTCTTTATGGTCCAACTTTCACACCCATACATGATACTGGAAAAACCTTAGCTTTGACTAGACAGACCTTTGTTGGCAAAGAAATGTCTCTGATTTTTAATACGCTGTCTAGGTTGGTCATAGCTTTTCTTCCAAGGAGCAAGCATCTTTTAATTTTATGGCTGCAGTCAACATCTGCAGTGATTTTGGAGCCTAAAAAAATAGAGCCTGTCACTGTTTCCACTGTTTCCCTATTTGCCATGAAGTGATGGAACCAGATGCCATGATCTTCATTTTCTGAATGTTGAATTTTAAGCTAACTTTTCCACTCTCCTCTTTCACTTTCATCAAGAGGCTCTTTAGTCCCTCTTCACTTTCTGCCATAAGGGGTGGTATCATCTGCATATCTGAGGTTACTGATATTTCTCCCTGCAATCTTGAATTCAGCTTGTGCCTCATCCAGCCTGGCATTTCACATGATGTACTCTGCATAGACGTTAAATAAGAAGGGTGCCAATATACAGCCTTGATGTACTCCTTTCCTGATTTGGAACCAGTCTGTTGTTCCAGGTCCAGTTCTAACTGTTGCCTCTTTACCTGCATACAGATTTCTCAGGGGGTGGGTCAGGTGGTCTGGCATTCCCATCTCTTCAAGTATTTTCTAGAGTTTGTTGTGATCTACACAGTCAAAGGCTTTAGAGTAGTCAGTGAAGCAGAAGTAGATGTTTTTCTGGAAATCTCTTGCTTTTTCAGTGATCCAGTGGATGTTGGCAATTTGATCTCTGGTTCCATTGCTTTTTCTAAATCCAGCTTGAACATCTGGAAGTTCTCAGTTCATGTACTATTGAAGCCTAGACTGGAGAATTTTGAGCATTATTTTTCTAACGTGTGAGATGAGTGCAATTGTGTGGTAGTTTGAGCGTTCTTTGGCATTGC